GTTTAAGGGTATTACACAGAAACACACCATAATAACATGAATCAAATATGTACTTTATTCATTTACATTAAATGTCATAATGTACATCATTCTAATTGGAGCTAAGGGCATACACTGTCTAACACATACCTCCATGCTCTTTGCCTTTCTACTTCCATTTAGGACAAACCATAGACCAAATATCTCTTTCGAAAACCTTGGGGACCAATATCAATTTTGGATAATCTAAAAAAGTACCCCAAATGGATCTTCGAATAGCAACAACAAAGCATAGATGAAATGCATTCTCCTCATCTACCTAGCAAAAGTAGCATCTACCTGCCAACTGAATAGCCCTACTTTTGATATGATCTTGAATAAGGATAATATCCAAAGCAACCAACTATGCAAAAAACCACCACCTTGGGAGGGACTGGCTTTCCCCAAACACCTTTAACATCCAATCTTTCAATTTGATTTCTTGCTAGTGCTTTGTAAGAGGATTTCACAGTGAATACACCATTCCTACTCTCCTTCCACCATCTTACATCAGGCCTTTTTAGTTGCATTTCTATAGCATTCAATTTAGATAGAAGACTTACACACTCTTCCACTTCCCAATAAAGAAGAGGCTTTTGAATCTTGAACACCATAAGACTGCTCCTTGCATAACTTCATAGCACTGGGCAATTGATATGTTTTTCCTACTTAAGCTGTATGATCTTGGACATAACTCACTCAAGTTGAATATACTCCCAAAATTTTAAATTGCTCCATATCCAACCTTTTCAAAAATATAATCCAAAAATGCTTCACTAAACTTATATTTCCCTTCCAAATACAAACATCATACGAAGATTTGACCTCCGTTGTATCCCACCTGAAATCAACAATACCATACTTGCAAGCAACCACCCTTCTCCAAAATGGTTCTCTTTCACATCCAAATCTCTACAACCATTTCCCCAACAATGCTTTATTGAATAACCTTATCCTTCTACTCTCCAACTAGGGATGCAAACGAATCGGATCGGATTTGAAACAGGGTATATTCGAATCCGATCCGACACTGTTCATGTCAGATCCGATCCGATCCGATCGGATCTGATAGGACTCGATTTGAATTCAAATCCTATCAGCAAGTCGGATCTTCGGATCTGATCTGATCCGGCTTGTTTTATTTAAAAATTAATAAATTATTAAAAGAAAAATAAAATATACTTATTTAAATAAAGTAAAAACAAAAAATACAAGTATTTTTTAATAATTTTCATCATATATATACATGTTTTTTATAAAAAAATAAATATTATAACAAATTTATAAACATATAATATAAAATATATTTATAAATAAATAAATAGCATATATATACATGTAAATATATAATATACATCAGATCGGATAGGGGGTGATCCGAATCCGATCTGATTTCTGATCAGATCATATCATCCGATCCGAGATCCTAATAGAGGTGATCCGAATTCAACCAAATAAGATCGGATCTCGGGTCGGATCGGATCATGATCCGATCCATTTGCACCCCTATCTCCAACCCCCCATCTTTTTGTCCCTACACACCCCATCCCACTTCACCAAGTGGTACTTTTTTTATTGGCCATTGACACTCGATAAAAAATCCCTTTTGCATCTTATCAATTGACTTTGCAACTGAAACTGGAACTTTAAGGACAAATAATAAATTGGTAAATTAGATACAACCCTTTTATCAATATTATTCTTCCCCCCAATGACAAATATTTCCCTTTCCAACCTGGCAATCCTTTTTTTTATTAGCAAAGAAGAATTTTATTAATAATTAAGTAAACAGGTTACAGAATTACAGTAAAGCACAGAAACTCAGTCGATGCCCAACAAAGTATTGCAATAAAGCCCAAAGAAACTGCTGCCTGTAGACCCCAGCTAATTAGTCCGCCATCCCATTGGCTGTCCTGATCCATGTAAAAGAAGCATTGAGCTCCCTTGCTAGGCTTTCAATCTCCCTTAGGGAATGTCTATAAATCCAAGGAGCATTGCCCTTGGTGTTAATCCAAGAGATCACCAGTTTTGAGTCCCCTTCAACCTCCAAGTTTTTTAAATCTGCTTGGTTAGCAAGTTTTAGACCATGTAGCAGTGCTAACAACTCAGCCTTTACCGAGTCACCTACCCCTAAAGCTTCTGAATACATTGACAACACTTTGCTTGAGGGATCTCTAAATACACCACCAATGCCTGCCAATCCCGGATTTCCTACAGAGTTCCCATCAAAGCATTTTTTTTAAGATAACAAAAAAAAATTATTAAAACAAAAAAGAAGATTACAAGGAAGGTTATAAGCAATCACCCAAAAAGAAAAGTCATCCCAAACCAACACCCTAAGAGGCAAAAACAAACCCAAATTAACTAAAACTGGCTCAAACTAAGACTCAACTATGAAATCCCTTACCCATAACAGTACATATAAAACCGAAGAGACAAAAGAAACCAAAATATCAATCCAGCCTAATGCCCAACAATACCCAAAATTTACCTAAACAAAACTTCTGACCCCAAGATACCAATTCAAGCATCTTTCTCAGCTTTTTGAGTACCATTTTGTTGCGTTTTTTGACTGTTCCTTTGGGTTTTTTTAATAGCTGGGGGCTTCCATTCAATCACCCTTCTTTCTTTCTTTCTTCTTATAGGAGTGTGCCATCTCATTCCATGCCCTTACTATGTCAGTCATGGAGAAACTTTGGAAGAGCTCAAGTGTTTTTACCCAATGTGCAACTCCTATCTCTATAGTTTCCATGATTTTTTCCTTTGACCTGCACTTTTCACTGAAGATCCTTGCATTCCTTTCCAACCTGGCAATCTTTGATCAATTCTATCCAACATTGGCAGTCAAGTAGAAGACAACAAGGATTTTACTCCAATTGGCAAGCCCAAGTAAGTGAAAGGAAATTCGCCCATCATACAACCCAAAGCCACTGCACAATCCTCTAATAATGACCAAGGAATATCTCCAACCCTGACGATAACACTCTTGTTCAAGTTAATTTTCTGACCAGACAATTACCTCAAAACACTTGATCCACACTATTATGTGGAGAGTGTAGAAGGGAAAGAACAGATATATTTTCATATGGAAAGGAAAAAGCATCCTTTGAAGACCTAAGGAAGTGGGTCTTTTTCTCAACTCATGGGACTTTGCACCTTAGGTGTTTAGAGGTGTTCCTCCCAATGTTTTACAAAGGAACCTTTTGGAGATCCTGCAATCTAACCCCAACCTTTCATTTCCAAGAGTATGTTCACTCCATCCTTAGAGAAGATGGTGTTACCGGTTGATAACAGTTCTTGGCAACCATTGACCAGCTAGTATTGGTGTGGTTTGACTGACTTGATGGCAACACCTTTTCAGCATTTAGTGGTCCCATAGGGGTTGCTGATTCCACGAAAGGAAAAGTTCTGGCTTTGCTTATGGGTTCAATAATTGCTTTGAGATATGTCCATCTTCATTGACAATTGAAGAAACTTCAGTAAACGCCATCAAATGGAGTGGTGGGAAACGCAGTGTTCTTTGGAGGTTATCACACTATGCTAATCAATTTAGGAAAAGACTTCATAATATGTCAATCCAAATTTGCTGAATTAGAGAGCTAAATGCAATAGGAATGGATTAGCTAGATCTGATTTGGACAAGACTCATATGTACCCAAAGATAGAGTAGCCATACCCATTTAAATTTTGTATTGAGGATTGGATACACTGTAATCCTTGTTTAGCAATTGCACATCTCATGCTTATTTTAACTCTTTAATGCAGCTTACAGTTTCCTTCTCAAGATACCAAAAAAATGAGGAAAAGAAAAAGAAAGAAAGAAATTGCCCAGTACCCCTTTAGTTTTCAGGCAAGACCTAGGGACCTTCCAAATGAAAACATGAATGAGAAGAGCCTAAAATACATTTTCATTTGGGAGCAACTCATCTCCGGAGTAAAAAAAAAACAAGAATAATGTGAAAATTGATCCAATCAATGTAATCCTCAGGAATAGAATGAGTCTTTATTTGATAAATAAAAGCTCACTAAAAATTCATTATCAGCAAAAAGATAAATGTCTGTTACAAGCATACCAAGGGGAAACACAAGGTGCAGCCTCACTCTTTAAAAGAAAAAAACAATACAAGAATTACAATTGGGCCCAATACAACTGATCCCTAGTTACTCCTTGCTTGGCTAGATAGTCAGCAAGCCTCCCTTCCCACCAATTGTATAGTCAAATTCATATGTTGTGTTACCCATTTAAATTTCTTCATTTCATTTCTATAACACCATATCAAAGTCTGGATCTTATAGAATGAGTCTTATATGGCATGAATAATGAATGTATCAACCAATCAACAAATGATCTCTATTGGAAGTTAAAGAAGGTATTTATCTTTCATCTCTAGGTTAGAAGATACATTTTAAAAAGAAAACTTATTTCTCAATGTGAGAAGTTTTAAAGAAAGCACATCAGCAATTTCAATAGGCTCATTTTTCGCTTATTTTCACAGTAAAGACCCTTTAACATGAAGTAGACACAAAAAGAACTAGAAGAAATGCCAAGAGAACTCTAATATTGTATATATAGAATGATAAGCATTATGTTTAATTTATTTCTCTCACCTTGGTCCTCAAGGTCCTTTCCACCCAGGTAACCTTTCATCCAAAGGAATACCAATATCAATACAATAATCATGCACCCTGCAGCTATGATGCCAACAATAGCTCCAACAGATAGCCCAGTATCAGGATCAAAGTCTACAGCATGAAAGTGATCATCATTATTATGAAGTTGTTGAGAGTGGAAGGGAGCTTGGTAGAAAATGTGTGGGTGAACTTACTGGGTGTCACTCCAATAGCTGATATAAGGGGTCCATATACACCTCTGTCTGGGACAAAAGTAGTTCCCTTTCCTGACCAGTACAAGTGAATCTCCAATGTGCTTCCATTAACAATGGCATCAAATTCCTTAACAATGCTTTTACCAGTACCATTAGCCTCTTTGGCAATATTAAAATCCTTCAATCGCATTTCACCCTAGATGAAGCAACAAGTCCAAAAAGATTTAATCAATAGAAGAAATCTTATACTTACCCTTTAAGCAAATAAATATATATAATATTAACACAAGTTAATTAAAAATTGTTTTTCCCATAAATAAAGAGATGGAACTAAATTCTCTGGAATGATTATTAGTGAATTATTACCACTGGAAAAATGACATAAGTAATCAGGTGAGGCAACCTGCCAATCACTCACTTGAATTGATATGTCAAATCTGCGCTCGCCAACACTGTTAAATGTCTGGTCATCTGTATACATAATTTCAGCAAAATGGAGCTTCACTTTATAACTTCCTTTACGTAAGCAGAACCCATAGTACCTGAGAGATAGAGGGGAAAGGCGAGCTGTGCTGTATATTGATGAACTGCTCATGTTCAGCACAGGATTTGCTTGGGTAATGAATTGAACTTTGTCATTGTAGAGGTAGTTTCCTGTAGTGCTACATCCCCATCTTTCACCATATTGGATGAAGTCTGATGGACCCATTTGTGCTGAGTCATCTTCATATTCCTTCCCATTAAAATCCAACAATGGCCCACCACAATTAATGAACAAGGAATGATCTGTTTATGTAAGATGAAAAATATATAATCATACTGACAAAATAGTAATTCTTTGGTAGCATTGCTAAATTTAAGACCCAAGGTTTGAAAACTTAAGGATCTGATAGAAAGAAAAAGCCACTTACACTTGGGCGTGCTAGAACAGGGTAGGTCCTTCTTCAAGCACCAATTGACTCTACAAAAAAAAAAAAAGATTTTTGATTCATTTAATTCCTGAAAGCAGCTGTTAAGTCAATTAGATACACTTTGAAGAATTTAACAACTTACAAGTTGTCCCCATAAGATGAATAACTACTGGAAATTGTTTTCCTGTTAAACAACATGAAAAGGGAGGTTACACAAAAAATAATTGAGTAACAATAGAAGAACAAATATTAAATCTAGATTGCTACTTACACTTGATGTTGGCTCTCACAGCTGGGCTGTGTAGAGTATCCAGTGAAATTATTGTAAGAAATGTCTCTGCAAGACAGATCTATCAGGTATTATGGTAATGGTTTTTTAGGGAAGAGACAATTGCACAAGGAATCAGCAGGAACTAGCAAGAGGGGTACTAGTTGAAAGATGAAAGCCACAGATGGGCAACAAGAAACAAGATACAGAAATATTGCATGAAAAATACAGTAGGTTTGAAGCTCTTCATAAGTTGTACATACATATAATTTTTGTTGTCCATGACCCAAGCTGGCACTAATCCAGTTAGTGAGTTGTTATTGAGATACCTATATCCATATACAAGATTGTGTCCACTTTGTGACTAGACAGTTTATCATGAAGAAAATCCAATAACCAACAGATAAATTAAACAAAGAAAGGAATGAAGAAAATCAAGAAAATCAAATTTTCTTTTATATATTTACATACAGGTATTGTAGCGATGACAAGCTCTGAAGTCTAGGAATTTCACCGGTCAATCTGTTGAAGGACAAGTCTCTGAAACTAAAAGGTTAGAACAAGAACAGTAGCATGAAATGTCTCATTAATGTAATAAACAGTGTATTCATAATGCATCTCATCCAATATGGGGTTACCCAGGCACAGAATGATAAGGTTATCAAAACATTACAATGAAGTATTATCGGTAGATATCAGTAGCTGGTGAAGTAAATTGTAATTAAACCCCCTAACAAAAAGGAAAAAAAGGTAGCTGGGCCTGTAGTACCACCTTTACACTTCAAAATCTGCAAGTAATGGAATATTGGAACCCCATAAAAAATGTCTTTGTTAGGCCTGCATAATAGGAATATCCAAGCCTTGGGGTGCAACCACTTTATGCTTTGTAAATCATAATGTGGAAAAACATTACTAACTGGGTGCAGAAAGACAAGGATTGGTTCCATAGTCAATATGCTAGGCAACAACTACTAGATCTTGTCTTTGGTAGAAAATTATCAACTTTCACAAATATACTTTATCAATGAATTGCCTCCTTTATGAAATAGCTTCTTTCATGTGATGATTTCATTTAGGCAAGTAAATTCAATTTGCACATGGATATCAGTTATGGGACAATAACAATAAAATTTAAGTGTATGAAATAATCTGGATAGATGGATTAGTGGATGTCAACAAGTAGTAACCAGCAAACCATGCCTTGGAAATTAGGATTACAAACTTAATCTGGATTGTGCTGAAAGGGATGACAATAGGGTCAATTCTTGCCAAGTTTTGAAGTTAACCATTCAATACCTTCAAGGTTTTCCCTAAACTTTCAAAGTTCTTAGAAGTAGGGTGAGATTTGTGAAGGCCCCATCTGAACCAGGCCTGAACCAAATCCAAACTCTTGCAGGGTTGGGTTTGGATTTCAAGCTTCAGGCTGGGCCTAGGCATGGAATATCATGCTTTGGTTCAGCTTGGGTTGGATTAAGTTGAGGCATAGGATGGTCCAGACAGGCCCAACACAACCCAAGCCCACCTAACCTTTAATATCATATATATATACCCCCTCACATACAAAGTACCTTATGCATAAGTATGTAACTAACAATATTTCCATGAATTTTTTGTTTATTACTAGAAAATGTGCATGTGCTTTGCACGTGGTAATTTCAGATGATGATGATGATGATGGCAATAGTAATAATGTGTCCAATTTTTTTACAATTTTGAATATCTCTAAGTGTATAAAAATAATTTTTATATTGCACTTATTTTTGTTTAATATGGAAAATATATGATATTAGAGATGGCCCAATTTTATTTATTTCTTGGTTAGCAGTAAATAATGTGTTTAAGGACAGAAATTTTAGTTCCTTCCTTTTTTTGCGGTTGGGAATTTTTTTTTTTGATAATTGAAATGATTTTATAAATCAGCAATACAAAGTGCGGTTGGGAATATTTTTGCATATCAGGGTGTGGGGGTATAGTTTGTTTGGGCATTTCTGTGTAAAATCCTGTGTACAGCTCCTTGTTGTACATGTTTTTTCCTTATTAATGAATATTATACTTTACCTATTTCAAAAATAATGATTTTTTTCTTTATAATTATTTGTGTTTTTATCTTTTCTATTTTTTATTATTTAATTATGACATCATGGGTTGATCCATTTGACCCAGATAGTTGAATTAGTTACCTGCCACCTGGATAGAAGAATGATTTTGTTTTTGGGCCATTTTAAAAGGAAACGTGGTTTTTATATTATTAAAAGTATTGGATATAGATCTAACTAATAGAATCTATTGATAAGAAAAAAAAAAAACTTAAATATAGGATTCAATGAGAGAGAATGGGAATTAATACCTTTATTATAACTTACAAGACTTTTTTTTATATCTTTTTGAAGGGATACACAACCGGGGGGGGTAGCCCATCCCCCAACCCATAACCCCCCGAACCCAAGTGCAGGTGGGATTCGACCCTAAGTCTCCACTACAACCGCCATGAGACCTTACCAACCAGCTGGTTGGCACCTTGCTTATAACTTATAAGACTTAATGAGAGAGAATTGAATGAGGTGAAAAGTAGTAATCAGATTACATTTTTTGCCCTCACAATTAGAGAGGGACTAAATTTAAAAATATGGGTATTTTGGTCAAGAAGAGTTCACGAGTTCATTCATACTCTTAATGGTAGTATAGATTCTAAATTGGATTACAGATTAATAAAAATATAAAGCAGAAAAACATGAGTAAGAAAACCCAATGCAGAACCAGCTTGGAAGTTCAGAGCACAGATTAGGGAGGCCAAAAACCTGGGAAGAAACTTGAACTGCTTGTTCAGGTAGATCCCTAGATCAGCCAACTCCCTAGCAGATAGCTCAGCTCAAGCTGGGGTCAACTCTCAACTCTCAAGGGGTTCTTTGGGGAATGCCTGGGCCAGGGGTCCATTTGTATCCTGAACAGACTCTTGTATTGTTTTGTGTGATTGGCTATTTTGCTGTCTTTGTACTGTCCCTGCTGTCTATTCTGGACAAATATAGATTTTCTTCTCTACTATTAATACAATGCTGTTATTTATCGGGAAAAAAACATGAGTATGAAAACCCTCAAACTTGACCAGCCTGCCCAGGATTGACCAAACTGAAACCTGGACCTAGTTGTCTTAGACTCTTAGGCTTTAGCTTGGGGTAGGCTCAGGATTTACCTTGGATTCAGATTGGTTGGGTAAGTCTTAAAATTAGGGCTCAATTGGGCGCTAAACTTGGCTCAGCCCATCCAATACTTCAAAGTTTGAAGAGTCTTAACAGAATTTCATCTTGCCCATACTGAACTACCATTTGTGAAAAACTAATTTTTATTTTATTACAATAAACTCATTCACTAGGGCTGTACACAGGTTAGTTCAGTTTGGTTGCACATAAATCTGTGAACCAAACCAAACTGGTCGGGTTGATTTTTCTACCAAGCCAATGGACATAAAAACCAACTTATGATAGAAACAGTCAGTTTAAACCAATAAAAAAATATATGCAAAATGGTAAAGAGACTTGAGAGGGTAGAATACTAGAAGCATTAAAGCCAAGTTCTATATTTGCAGTTTCATACAATGCAATTTCATACAAGTTCTAGACTGGTTTCACTTTAGACTTTTACTTTTTTTAGCTGTAAGCCTTCAATAGCTTCTTTGACTCTTTCATGTTATTCTACAAAAACTCAAAATAGAAAGACAAAATTTTTTGAATTCTGACATTGGGAAACTGCCAAAACATGGGGAGGAGAAAGAAACATGATACCATTTCCTTTCTTTGGGATAGGCTCGAAAATCAGATATTTCAACATATAGTCAGTTCGGATTGGGTTAACTTCGGTTTACAAACTCATAAACTGCAACCGACCCAACCAATTGGGTTATGAATATTCATAAACTGAAACTGACCATATTGGATCAAGTTGGATCGGTTTGGTCAGTTTGGTGAATTCTGTGAACAGCCCTATCATTCACATCAAGATCATACTAGAAACGGTGCCAAATTTTAAACTTATAGACATCACAAATTGCCTCACTTATCTAAACCATCAAAATAACTGACCTTGATTCAATTCATCACTTTGTGAATCCTGCGCACTCAGCAGGGTGAGAAGTTCAAACATTGAGTGATCAGCTGGCTGTTGGACAATAACAAAGCCAACTGGAGGTACAGGAATGAAATTAGACATTTTAGAGGGTTTTCTAGAGAGATGAACTTAAAAATTCAATGGGCACAAAGATCAACCAGCAACTTAGCTGTTGGACAATAACAAAGCCAACTGGAGGTACAGGAATGAAATTAGACGTTTTAGAGGGTTTTCTAGAGAGATTAACTTAAAATTCCAATGGGCACAAAGATCAACCAGCAACTTAGCTGACAGATTAGCTAAACAAGGGGTGAGATGGCAGGGTTTGTTACAAAGTACTTTTACCTGTAACATCACAACCTCTTTGTTGTAATTTATGTTAATTAATGAAATTATTGATTTTTGTTACTGATCAAAGAAAAAGTTCATTGTACACTTGTGCATACTTGAGGCGTTTTCAGTGTTTGCTGGAAAACAACAGCCGAAGAAGAAGAAGAAGAAGAAGAAGAAGAAGAAGAAGAAGAAGAGAAGAAGATTTGAGAATGGCGGCTTACTCACTTCAGCCGGCCCTACAATCTTATATAGATGTTTACAAAGTAATGTTACATGAATAGACTAGAATCCCCCTGATTAGTGATGGGACACCTAGACAAGTAAAAAATTAAGCAAGTTTAGGCCCAATAACTAAGAACTTAAGACACAAATATGACTAACATAAACACTAAACCAGCCGAACCAACACTTCCCCTCAAGCTAAGCATGGATGTCGGTCATGTTTAGTTTGCCAAGTAAGTCTAAGAATTTCGTTGAAGCTAGTCCTTTTGTTAGCACATCTGCAATCTGCATCTCGGAAGGAGTATAAGGAATGCAGAGTTCCCCTGAGACTAGCCTTTCTCTAACGAAGTGTCGGTCAATCTCAATATGCTTCATCCTATCATGTTGCACTAGGTTATTTGCAATGTTGATGGCAGCCTTGTTGTCACAGTACAGCCTGAGAGGACCCTCGACCTTTATCCCGAGCTCACCAAGAAGGGTCCTAAGCCACAATAGTTCAGCAACACCATGAGCCATAGCTCGATATTCAGCCTCTGCACTTGATCTAGCAACCACATTCTGCTTTTTACTTCGCCATGTAACAAAATTCCCTCCAACGAATGTGCAATACCCAGAAGTAGACTTCCTATCTCCAACAGAACCAGCCCAATCTACATCAGTATACGCTTCAATTTCAATTTTATTGTGTTTTTTGAACAGAGTTCTTTTTCTTGGGCAAGTCTTCAAGTACCTAAGAATCTTTTCCACTGCTCTCATATGAGGAATCTTTGGAGAGTGCATGAACTGGCTGACAACATGTACAGCATAAGCAATATCTGGTCGAGTGAGAGTTAGATATATCAACTTCCCTACTAGTTTTTGGTATCTCTCTTTATCAAGGTAGTCCTCTCTTATTGATTCCTGTAGACCATGGTTTTGTTCTATTGGAGTATCTACTGGTCTACTCCCCATCATACCTGTCTCCTCTAGAAGATCAAGGACATACTTCCGTTGACATATATAGATGCCCCCTTGTGACCTACCAACTTCAATTCCAAGGATGTATCTCAGATGGCCCAAGTCTTTGATCTCAAACTCAGAAGCCAAAAACTCCTTCAATCTTTTTATCTCTTCTAGATCATTCCTTGTAATCACTATATCATCCATATAGACGATGAGTGCCGTAAGTCTGCTATCCTGTTTCCTTATAAACAAGGTATGATCTGCACCACTTTGAGTGTATCCCACTCTCTTCATGGCCCCATAGAGCTTCTCAAACCAAGCCCGAGGAGATTGCTTAAGACCATATAATGCTTTCCTCAGTTTACACAYTTTCCYATMAAARMYATAACCWGGTGGAGGATCCATGAATACCTCTTCATGTAGATCGCCATTTAGGAAAGCATTCTTCACATCCAACTGATGTAGCTCCCATGAGAAGTTTGCAGCTAATGACAATAGAACCCGGATTGTGTTGACCTTCGCGACTGGAGCAAAGGTCTCTTTGTAGTCAATCCCTTCTTTTTGAGTAAACCCCTTTGCCACAAGTCTGGCCTTGTGTCTTTCAATGGACCCGTCCTCCCTATGCTTCACAGTGAACACCCACTTGCATCCCACAGTGCTCTTCCCTTCTGGTAGATCCACTAATTCCCAAGTCCTTGCTTTCATTAAGGCTTTTATTTCTTCATTCATAGCCTCTCTCCATCTTGGGTCAAACATAGCCGCTGAGTACCTAGTAGGGACATGCACGAAAGAGAGAGCAGACACAAAGGAATAATAACGAGGAGATAAACGTGAGTAAGAAACAAATTCAGCAATGAGGTGTCGGACAGTACAAGAAAGGGTAGACTTACGAAGAGCAATAGGGAGATCCAAATCAGAAGTATGAGTGATAAGATTACTTGGAGTTGCTGAGACAGATTGATCCGAGTCCGATTGGTTGCTGCCATGAGTTAGAGGGTCTTTTTTCCTTCTGTTGTAGATGATTCTTATATCTTTTTGTTGCCTACTAGTGTCCTCAGCTACATCTACAGCATCAAGAGTGGTAACAGGTTCAATGGGAGCCTCACTAGATTCACCTGGGATGCTACAACTAGGAGGATCAGGAGGAGAAGATGGAAGGCCCGAGGCAGAAAGAGGCACAAAAAAAGAGGGGGAAGAAGAATCCTC